GAACCGCGTTCCGGCACCTTTTTCCGGGCCGGCCGCACCGGAAATAGCCCCTCCCACACCGGAAATAGCCCCTCCCAAATTTTACTTGCATTCCTGTTCTCTAAAGGGGCGGTCCTAGGGTTTGATGAGGGCGTGGCCAGGTTTGAGTTCCGCCACCTTTTCTCCGAGAAAAAAAGCCCTGGGAATGTCTATACAGGAACAACAACAAAGTAGCCCCAGTCCAATAATGAAACCTTCACAAAAGTTTTACAAAGCAAAAAAACAAAACCAATCAACCAAAAAAAAGTTTGTTGTCACATGTGGCAGCATGTGTGCTTGATGCTGTTATTAGGTAGTTATTTCCTGCTGTCTCTAACAGTTTTCTGGGGTGCAGAATCCAAGATATGTGTGCCTAGTAAAGCCGCTGGTTCCAGAAATTCTTTCAAGAATTTGGGGTAGCTTTACATGAATTCCATCTGCAAGTTCTGCCTCCTACCTTTAGATTGGTACAAATTGCAATTAGGGATGGTGTTCAAAAATCTTGTCAAAAATCTTACAGCTTCTGCAGAACTTGAAAGCTCCATAAGCACATATAACCAAGGCCAGAGAACACATACTGTATTTATTTCAATGTTAAAAATACCAAGACATCAGAGAATAGAGAATTCAAATGGATATATTGTCTTCTCCATCATTTACAAAAGAAGATAATTAGGTGGCTTCATTTTTTCTGTATTTATGTACATTTAAAATATTATAAAACATTTTAAATATATTTCAAGAATTATATTTATTTCATTTTAAACTTTGATTGTTTTGATTGGTTGAAATACAAAAATATTGACCTATTTAGCCATACAAAATTTAGGGGACAAACTAGGTCCTTGTGGTTTGAATCGTGGCTGTGTTAGGTGTGGCATTTACGTGTTTCAGCCTTATTTCTTTACCTAATTCTATGTGTAAAAGGAAAAGTGTGAGCTTTTCTTTTTTCTGTCCATGAGCAGAATTAACCTGAAAAAAAGATATTGGTAGTATCATATGGAAGTTGTTAAGATAGTATCTTTTCCAAAAAAGCAAATGCTATGAGAAGAACATACTTTGCAGGATAGAACAAACAAGTTAATTCTGAGGTTCATTTATGCTATTTTTTTCTCAGAGTACATAGACCAAAACTATCTCCATATGTATTTCTGAGCCCTGATGAGCTCAAGAGTAATGCATGTGTTAAGTGACAAACAAAGAATTAATTGTTCATTGTGATGTCCATATAACATAGCATTATGGTTATCATCTGCTATAAAGGAATTGTACTAAGAATATTATGCATTTTTAAATGGTCTGGGGTGGTCTCTGATCTATTTTCAACAAATACACAATATGGTTTTAATTAGGAAAGGGTGTGGAGTCCCTATTTGTATTGGAATTTGAGCTTCATGGATTCTCAGAAGACCCTCTCCTGCCCCTCCTTTCTAGAGGCTGAAGCAGAATCCTGATGAAAATAATTTTTGGTTGGTTACCAGAGCCAACCAAAATTTTAGGGAGCTGTAAACATTTCACTCCAAAGACCTCAGAACT